TTCTCATCTGCCACCTATTCAAGTACAAAATGTCATCTGCAATGAGGCATCGGTAAGTACCAACAGTGTCGAATGTAAAGTTCCGTTGTTTCTTTCAATTTTAGCCAAGCTGATTCAGAAAACATATCCATTTCTTCTACTTAGTATTTCAGTAAGACACTCTGCATAAATAAAAACACAATTTGTAAAGAAGAAAAAGTTAAAATGCGCCCATCTGTTGGCTCAGTAAAGCTGGCAAAGGGGACGGGGGGCAGAATGTGCGGGACATGCGTACAGGGATCGTTTATCTTTGCCAGCCACTAGACCCTCCCCCAGTTCCGGTCGTATTTAGGTCGTCTCGCCATCAGAAGATGGTTGATGGACGAGAGGGACGGATGCGGTGCATACTAATAATAATAAACAAAAATAAACAACTGTCTTTGCTGGAAAACTAATACTATGACATAAAAATAATGTTACTGACATTTTACTAGTAATATTACAATTAGTAGCCTTACTAAAACACAAAATCGGTTAGTCCAAGGCCGCAGGCATCAATCCAGGATGAGTACATACTGAAAGCCAGATCGGTGTACAATCAACGACTACAATTGTATATTTTATAATTGTATATTTAAGGCCCAGGCGGTCAGTACTGGATGGAGTGCAAGTTTGCCTCATAAGAAATGAATCTATGCACATTATAAGTTTCCTGTTGAATCTACCTCGTGAGATAATCTTGAACGTCTTCGTGTGCAGTGGCCGGACGCTCATGATTGAAAGTAACAAGAATAAATTGCATTAGCCGGAAAGGGAATTGGAAAAGTAGCTGATAATTAATTTCGTTAACACACCTACCCCATTTTAAGTCGTCATTTTTCGTCACCTTTTCTATTATAAGAACTCTAAGTTAAAGTGTTTTTCTTACCCAAAAAGCAAATAAATCACATGCTGGCCTTGAATCACCGACGGATTGCTCAACTAGTTGGGAATTTGAACATGAAGACAGCAGTCGCAACCTACCGATTGCACTCTGAGTGGGTGGAATACTACAAAAACTGGCAGCAGTCAAATACAACAAGGCTGACTGACCAGTTTAAGTAAGTCGCGCGTACTTCACTGATTCTTTATTTGCTACTAATGGCGACAAATGCGTCATTTGCATTAAAGTACGAATAAAATATTCAAAAACAATGGTACTGTGTGAAATGAGGACGATGCGCTACAAAGATGCACATGTAAGAAGCTACAGTGGAACCTCGGCTGATGAGTTTAATCCATTCTAGCCCTGAGTTTTTAATGTGAAGTGCTCGCCTTGTGAGACGTAGCCAGTCAAACTGCATCAGTTCACTGATTGGCTGTAGACGACCGAGGACCCACGCCCCGGGAGCAAGACCCAACGGCTGATACAGGCACACACACGCACTGACAGCTCGTGAACTGTGTGGAAGCTCGTCAGTCGAAACAAATTTCCTGCTATTGCCTCGCTCGTTACCCAAAATGCTCGTAGATGGGGCTGCTTGCTATTAGAGGCTCCATTGTATTAGTATAAGTCTGGGCTGTTAGCTTTATTAATCCTGAACCGCGTGCAAGCAGGCAAGGCAGAGACTGAGAAGAAGAAGATGTGTTCGCAGGAACAATTTTGCTATTCTCCCTGTCTCCCTCCATCCCTCCCTCTCTCTCTGTCTCGATCCGCGACGGATTTCGAAGCATCAGGCGAATAAAATTATTGTCGCAGCAATCACATCTATTTCTCTTCAATTACTTTTTGGGACTTGCATGTCCGCTTGTATTGGCAAAGAAAAGATATTGGATACATCAAGAAAAAAAAGTGTAAAGGGTATATGGTCAAAGCTGTGTATGACGGGCAATTAGGGCAATGAAGATAGTAGCCATCGTTCGGAAGAAATTGACCAGTAAACATCATGAAGTTTAAAAATATTTGCGAAAGTCATATTGAAGAGCATGATTTGGCAGAAGATGAAACATCAAAAGCAAATTTCACTCAAATGCGTTTAAGAACGCTGACGCCAAATGCATGAGAGTAATTTATTAAGCTTATCAAAAGCCAATTCAAACTTGAGCGACTAGAACAGAAAAAAAGTGATAACATCACTATTTATTTGGATGAAATGATAGAATTTTTGGAGTAAGTATTCTCCAAAGGGTTTAATTTACGGCTTTTCTGTCTCCTTTATTTGCGCCATTCAAAACCCGAGAATGAAGAATAGTTTGGTAGTGCTAATCACTTACTGTATGACTATTCCTCACTCTTCGAAAGAAACTGGCCTTCCAGGAAGTTAAGCTAGGCGGACAAACGTTTTCGATTTATTCATCATCAGGCAATACGACAATATAAGGGAGGGTAGAGTTAAGGAAAGTTTAAGCAATCACTTAGTAAAGCCGATATCAAGCGTGATTCTGGCATACTTGGTTTACAGCGGTCATCGGGTAGACGTCAAACAAGCGTTTAGAGTTATCTATAATGTGGCGACGAAACAATCAAAGTTCTTGCGCCAGCGGATACTTGTGATGGCAAAAAGCAGTAGCCATACGCCTCACTAGCCCAATCTTATGTGCGCAGAAGGCGTTTGTAGCGGCCCCAAGGCTCCCGTGGCCGAAGGCTAATTCAAAATCCGCCCCCACGCTTCTTACCACGCCACGAAACAGCGACGAGGCTGCGACAGCAAGAATCCCCAGGCCAACCACACCGTCACGAGACGAAGAAACCTTGTGTCTTCACGCCTCCCAACAAAACGCGAGCCGAGAACGACGGGACGACGTGAACTAATTGTCAGATCCTTCTCCCCCCTTCTCCCCACCCTCTCCCCTCTCTGGTCCCCAATTAAGACTATAATCTAACCCGCTTTGATCCCTTTACAACTCTCTCCCCCTTTTCCCTCAATTACTACTGATTGCTTGCTTAAACTTTTGTTAACTCTACCTCTTTTATATTATTGTACTGCCTGATTATGAATTAATCGAAAACGTTCGTTCGCCTAACTTGACTTCCTGGATGCTTACATAGGCATCATCGCAGAAACTGGATTCTTGTCCACTCCTGTGAAAACAGGTGTATATGCTCATATTTAACCTACCAGCAGACAGCCGATAAAATAACTACGACGGTCACACTTCCCAGGAGATTACTTTTCAGTCCTACCGAGCAATCTCGTGACTTGTGAACCGCCAATGCAAATCGATCGATATTTCATTAGCTTGCCCAATGTGGACGGTACATAATCGTTCAAACGTACTGGCATAGCCAGTCTTAGCTAAATAGTGTCAAAAGATTGGACGTTTCCGTAACTTGAGGATTAAGCATCAACTGTTATCATATTATAATCTACTCCCATGCACACAACCATTGTGCTAGTCTCTAACATGATACACAATGTAAAACTCTCCCGAATGCTTGAAATTACTGGGATGTTTATTGTCTTCATCAAGAATTTCAGACAACGTCAGGCATTGCGTCAATATGGAAATAGTTGTGCCTATTTTTTAACGTGTAGGCAGTTAGTGTCTTCTAGGGAAATTACTTGCTGTCAAAAAGGAACAGCCAGTACTCTATGCCTGAGGTTAATTATAGTTGGTCTGCAAAATGTAGTAAGCAAGGTTTGAGAATAATTAACATTTTCTGTATTTCAGAACAGCATGCACATTTCCTCTAAAACTCTTTGCCAATCAGATTTCATAGGGCTGTTTTTACTTTATAACGTGCAATATGGGTCTTTTACTATTTCCTCCCAGAGACTTGGCCCAAAAACTGATAAACGAATGCCCAGCAACTGTAAAGACGCTCCTTTCACAGCTGTCAGAAGAATTTACCAGCATTTTGATGCGGCGATATCAGATTCTGCAGGATTTTAGGTTCGAAAAATGTTTATTTTCTGCAATTTACTGCCTAGTTCCATATTACTTGAAAATAATTCGTTGAAATTTACCTCTACTACCAGAATGAACTTCCGGCTATTTGTTGAAGCACCAGAGAAAACCGAGGCTTGCCTACGAGATCTTCAAAGTCTTCAGGGACTACTTGGTATATCGTATTTTATTTATTATTTTCTCAATATTTTACGAAATTGTAAAAAAGCGAGCATGCAGTCCGATAAAAGCCTTTATTATGTAAACTGTGAAGATCAACATTTATATTTTCTTCCGAAACACACACGTACCTTAAATTGAGAAGCTTTAACCAAGTTACCAGGAGATATATATGTATATTATTAACAGCAACATTGTTTTCAGTGGGCATCTTTCCCGAGTATCTGGAGAAGATATTCAAAGCGTTTGAGGAGGTGTTGGGCAATATCCGGCAGGATTTGCAAGTTCTAAAGGTGAGTGCTGCGTGCGGAATAAATTTCCAATTAATAGTGGAACGTAAGACGAAATAAAAGTAGTAAATTTTGAAGGGACAGACATGGCTGCAATTAATAGATAGGGTGGTCGAACGGGAGTGCTGTAATAGTTGGAGATTCACACTGTTTAGTCATGTTTAATGTGCCATGCACTGTAATTAGTCTGTAGACTCTGGAGCGACGCGAGATTTAGCAATAGTCTCAGGAGAGTTTGGAGCCAATTGAGGTTGCTTTGTTTGCTGATTGGCTGCGGGTGACAAAGGCGTATTTAGACGCGTTGAGGGCCAAAGAACTCAACGGCGGACCCGAAGGCAGTTGCCTGAGCCGATAAACTTGTAGCAATTACTTGCACAGCTGTTTGTACACTCCTTCGCTCAATAAACGCTGGTTTGCTGCTGGAGCCGCCTGCAACATGGCAGCAGCCAATCAGCGTACGACCTTCACCAACTTGCTGTAGAGAGGCAAAGACAGAGCAGGGATGCACACGCCCTGGTTTCTAAGCTTCTAAATGAGCGGAGGTAGTTATCGAAGCAAGGCAGTTCATGTTACATTGAAAGCCTGTGAAGCGCGACTAAAGGTTGGGGGGGGGGCAAAGGACAGGGCGGCAGTCAGTCATACGGATGATGGAGGAGGCGTGAGAGGGAATAGGTTTATCGATCGTTACTAGGGCATTGCAAG